GGTGAGAAGAAGAAATGCATGATGGCCATGGTAATAAAGCAGGAAATTGTCGATAAATATAAGTGTGGTGCCGCTAAAGAAAGAATACAAATCGAAAAAAAGCAACAAATTAAAAATAAAATAGTATAAACAAAAACGTAAGTTAAGATAATTCTAAGTCTATGTAAGTTCCATAGTGTACGTGTAAGGTACGCTACGGAATCAAGTGTCTACGTCTGGGCCAACTCTCTCCCTTCCCTTCCTCCCTCCCTTTTTTATTATTGTTTTATTATTATTGTTATTTCTTCTGTGAAAAAAAATACTTGAGGTACGAGCTCCTCTAGTTACGAGTTCGGTCCTGCAATGGATTATGCTCGTATCTCGAGACTCCACTGTAGTTGTAAAAGGTCTGGTGTGTTTTTAATTGCAGATCCTTGGCAAGGAGACGCTCAACATGTGACTGTTTCCTGCCAGACATTCCACATGTTGAAACTCTCTGTGTCATAACGTCAGCATTTGTTGTTTCCTCCTTTCGGTACTATATTTTGACTTTGGTGTCATGTTGGAGTGACTGCATTGTTAAAGCCATTTATGTGCCCTTGAGCATAACACTGAGTGCAATCTTTACTTTGATTGTAATAATAGCCTGTGTTTATTTTATCCATGTGCTAAAACATGTTTTATTTGTACAATGGTACTATGTTCTAAAACAGTGGTTCTCAAACTGTTGTACACGTACCACCAGTGGTACATAAGGGCTCTCTAGTGGTACACGGGAAAAATTCATATTTTCACATTTCCATTTTCAATTGAATAAATCTGACATGATGCACAATTAATACAACATTTAGAAAAAAAAGTGTAGCTTCTTGTGAGATTATGATGATTATGATGTCTGGTCTTTTTATTTATTTACTTGTTTTTTGGCTGCAATGCAAGTCTGTTGCTCATGTCAGCACAGGCAGCACAGAATCATGGGCTCACTTGTTGAAAATGGAACGAGCGGGGGAATTCTAATGTTGGTCATCATGGTGGTACTCAGAGAGATCAAGGTTTTCTCAGGTGGTACAGAGTAGAAATAGTTGGAGAACCACTAGTCTAAAACATTTTAAAAGGAACTCAAGATCAGACATTAGTCAAGGGGAAAAATATGGTTTTGGTGATTTTGGTCTTTTTAAAGCACCACCCTCATGTATTTTATTGCCACACCTGACCTGCTCATATACTATCATAGCTCATCTCGTTTCAACCATTCTTTTGCCTTGACTTTAATCAATGATTCTAAAAGTTTGGGGCAGGTGACACCCAAGGGTCATGCAGTTGGGTACTGCCAGTTCGGAATATGAGTAGTGAAATTAAACTGTTCTTTCTGCAAATGTTTCCAGGTAATAAACATACTCTGAGCTGTTGTTGTTGTCATCTGTGATTTCAGTTTAGCCTCTCATGTCGTCAACATTCCTAAACACAACTAGCCAACCTCACTGTATACATCACAGGTAGGTGGTCTTGCCAAAAATCCATTTGTGTGTGGTTGTACAGACGTACTGTGTAGGGTTTTATTTTCACTCCTGTCGTGATGGACGTGGAGTCTTTGACCTCTTTAACAATGTGGATCTGATCGTTTGGGACTGAGGTTTGGATCCAATCTGGGAAAGTACAGGAAATGACAATGACGTGTGTGTGTGTGTGTCTGTACAGGAGTCTTTATAAGTGTGTTTGTGTTCGTGAGTTCGTGAGTGTCTGTGAGACGAAGGCCACTGTGGCATGAAAAGCCCTCAAATCCAGAGAAAATCCCTCGTCCTTGTGTCTGTCTCAGCACTGACTGAATCACCAGACGCAGCCTGTGGGTTGAACCTGTGATTGGCTGCATGTCACATGCATTCTTCCGACTTCCTGTGAACTGTGTGAACTGTGTTAGGAGAAAATCCCCTGAGCAGTAGTGTTACTGAAGCTAAATCTGTGGTTTTGTTTTCACTGCAGGTTCCTAAATTTCACGGTGCCACAGTGAATGAAGGGCTCCATATTTTCTATTGTACTTTCTATTTAACTTCTAAATAAATAAAGCCCAAACTAAAGTCAGACAAAAGCTCAAATTGTCATCATTTTGGCACTTTCTATTAAAAAAATGCTAATATATTACAGTACATTGAACAGTTAGCTTGATGACAGCAGTTAGGCTCGCAATAAACCCAGGCGCTAATTGTTAGCATGTTCTCATTCAAGACAGTTAAGGTAGAATATAATGAACTTATTAGCATAAATAGCAACAATTAGCTTTACCTACAAAACACAGTTAGACTCGTACTCACCGACTGCAGCCCAGTGAGTCCAGAGATGCCTGAAACTATTGGACAAAGATTTGGTAAATGTAGATAAAGATTTAGTCAAGAAAATACCACGTCAAACCAGGCAGAAGATGAAGAAGATACGTAGCCAGGAATAACAGAACATTTATTCTGTGTGAGGGAAAGATTTTTCAATTAGCAATTTAAAGTAAACAAGTTTAAACATGATTCAACTAAAACTAATTAAAAATAATAATGCGAAGCAATTATAAGTTGAGAAGTTGTGAAGAATGCTAACCATTAGCATTAGCAGAGTTTTTCTTGAGATAACTGCTACAGTGCTAAGTTGGGCGATAGCATGTATCAAGAATTAAAAAACTTCAGAGAACAGTCAGAAATTGCAAAAAAAGAAAAAGGTACAAATTTAAAATGTTTTGTTTTATTATATTTAGATTTTGGTCAAGTCCTCGTTTGTGTTTAAAATAATTAATGTTCACAGACTTCTTCAGCTGTGAGTCCACTCATCTCTGAGGATGGCAAGTTCGACTTGATGGAACATGATCTCAATGGGTTGGAATTTCTTCCTTTTGGTACTGCATAAAGGACAATATTGTGTTTAAATCGTGATCACAGGCAAGACTCTGCAGCATGACATCATCGTGTCTGCAGCCACTATTGTTCGCTAGCACTGAGCAGTCAGCAGGAGAGTCCTGCTTACTAAAAGTATTTGTGTTCAAGTTTGGGCCAGGAAACAATCGCATTCTTCAGGAGCTTAGTCTAATCTTGAACTATTGACCATAATGTCCTGCAACACTTATTGTGTTTGCTATCAGAGAAACAGCTGACGAATTTCCTTAAATGATATCATTGGTCATGTGGACAGAATCACATCATCTATATCATCTGATGTTTTTTGGACAAAGGGTTTTTTTTTAAAAAATTGTCTACAGGAAGCAGATCAGTAACAAGAACTGGAGGAACAACTGCACTCAGAGAAGCTCTAATGCAATAATGATCTTTTTCTCCGTATAAGCATCTGGCACAGCATGTGTTGGACTTAATTAGAGTCATTAAGAAGTGTGGAAAAGGATGCAGGTCCAGCCTAAATCATTGGGCAGAGACAAAAAACCTGTGTGTGTAGGAAATAAATGTTGGTTCTAAGAATAATCAGAACTGTGCTTCAACTGTGTTGGTTTCAAGAGCATCTAAACCACGGGTGTCAAACTCAGCAATACAGTTCCCCTTAAAGGGTCTGTTGTAAGAAGACTGTGTAGAACAGGGGTCCCCAACCCACGGTCTTCAGAGATTTGTTACCAGGCCGCATGAAAAAATGTACTTAATTTTTATTAATTTACTTAATTCAAATAAATCCAGTCATATCCATTTACTTTCTTTATTTAATGATAATCTGACAATATTTTAAAATAACAGGTCATACAGACTCTGATACAAACAGAACAGAGTCTAAAAGATGTTTTATTTTGAAAATTTACTGATCCTTCAATAATCAGTACCTTGGTACTGGTCTGTAGTAACAGGTGGTACTGGCTGACCAGTCCTGGAACAAAAAAGGTCAGGGACCACTGGTATAGATGTAACTACTCCATAACAGACTAATACATGTTTCTGCAATTGATTATTATTATTTGTTTATAAAAACTTTTAATTTCTCAGGTTAAGAAACTTTTTAAGCTCCCGCCTTGGTGGGCTGCATTTTGTCCCCGGGCCCTGAGTTGAAACATATGATCTAAATTGTTCACACCACAATTTTCTTCATGTACAATAAAGATTATGGAGGTCACTTTGAAGTAGTTTATTAAAAATGATATAAATAAATACCACACATTTATAACATGGTAGGTTACATGACACAAATACATGAGATTAACATGTACTTTTCGTACAAAGTGAGTAAGCAGTTTTCCATAGTAGTCTTCTATAATCAGTAATCAATTGTTATTTTCCCCCAACAATTTTTTTTAAAAGAGCACACTACACATTTGTGTCAAACAAATGCCTGAAGTAAAACAGTAGGTTAGGGACTGTCAATAAAATACCAGCAAAATGTAGTTTTGTTGTTTATGTCAACAAAGCTTTGAACCTTTATGGACTCTATGTTTTTTGTGTCTGAACATAAATTATAACATCTCACCCTGGAGAGTGTTTCAGTTAGCAGCTTAACTTTACCAAATATAATGAAGTCATTTCTTCACCAGTGGCAGAACCAGTTAATAGATCACAGATTAAGCAGAGTGTTTATGGTTGTACAGTAATATTTAATCAGTGCTGTGGTTCTTTACTCAGTAATATTGTTAATATTAAAAAAAAATACAGCATAATAAAACACAAATATTATCTTATCCAGCAGGTCTGACATTAGGCCTCAAATGATTTCATGTTGCTAAATATTTTACCAACTGTGATGAAGTTGTACAAGTAGTAACACGCAGGTGACACAGAGTACATGACTGTTGAACAAATACCTGAGTTTACAAAATTTTGCTATACTAAAATATACATTACATGGCAAATATATCAATTTAAATGTCCTAATAAAGACATATCCGTCCCAGTGTCCGTCTTAATTCACAGTTTCACACGGTAACTATCGGCTTCTGTTCCGATCACGTCAGCAAATGAAGATCAGACAGTCACGTTGCTGTAGTGGTTAATGAGTTCAGAATCAAAATCAGGCTATAATCTGTGATCAGAACTTCTTTTCTTTTTTCCTTTTCATTGAAGAAATAAAAAAAAGATTAGAGTGGATTTCCTTTAGTAAAAATATAATTTACTAATTAATTGTGGCCACATTTAGGTGTGCTTTTAAATACGATACTATGATACTTTTCTCCAGAACCTATTGAGAGCTGTCAGCTCAGACCCAGTACTGATTCTTCTGTAGAGTTGGAGTGGCAGTTCTGATATTTTGAGAAGATGCCACAGTGGAACCGTCACTCCAGGAATTGAGGAAAGTGTTTGAATCTATGGTGTCATAACCTGAGGGGGAATTCAACACCAGTAATCGATCCAGAACTGGGCTGCCTGGACAGTTGGGGTTTAATGGCGTCACGGTCACGGTGGGAACAGTTGTGCTCCTCTGTGTTGGACCCTGGTAGGACTCAATGTTTGGAGGTCCAGGTGACGGCGGCTGCTTTGGTGGAGCAGCGTTCTGCTTCCGTTGCCTGTGATGTCGCAGGTATACAACCAGTACAACAAAAATGAACACGAGCAGCAACAGGGCCAGCAGTGGAAGGATCACCAAGAGAGGATTGGAGTTCTTCTCAGGGTCGGACTCCACACGGACTGGAGTGTTCTCAAAGGGAAAATGTTCTGGTTCACGTGTTGGTCGGCCAACTGTGGTACTGAAAAGGCTGGTCCTGTTGGAGTTCCCCCAGCGGTTGCGGCCCTTGAACTTCTGCTGGCCTTTCTCTGGTTTCTGGGTGGAGGGTAGAACTGTAGACAGGACTGGTGGAGCAGTTCCATTGATCGGAATCTGGATTGTTATCTGAGGAGCTGTTGATGTGTTGACAGTCGGACTTTGTGTGGTTGGAATAAGTTCTGGGTCAAATGGCACAACAGTGAAGCTGAACCGGCCTTTAGCAGGTTGGATGTTTTGTGCTTTCAGTAGAAACACCATGGAGTCGTTGAGTTCTTCAACTCCGGTCATGTTGGCCTCCAGCTGCAGGGCAACCTTCCCCTCTGTCACATCCTGAAAGGTGAAGGAATCGGCCTGTACCATGCTCTTGGGCATTTTTGGCTGCACCCGCACCACCTTACCATATGTAGGGTGGGACATGATTTCAAAGACAGGGTCACTGTTACTGACACTTGCCAGTTCAGAGGCATTAAGAAAAGCTGCGTTAAGTTTGAAAATAACTCCATTTGGAATCCTTACATCTTCTCCCATGTGGACCAAAGGTCTTACAGTTATGTTGAGAACTTGGTCCGTCAGATTAGCTTCCGACGTGAAGGCAGTGAACTCAAAGCTGTCTTCTGCTGAGGTCAGGGAGACCATGTGGTAGGACAAGCTTCCCGTTTGCAAATCTTCTTGTTCGAACTGAGTCACTTCGTTGTTGTTCATCAAGAGTTTACCAAAGTTTGGAGGTCTGGTAATCTGGTAGTGAATGGTGATGTTTTTCCCGTTGGTGACCGCTGCGAGGTTGTTCTGGGTCAGAGACACCAAGGTTGTCCCCTGCTCCAGGGTCAGTGCAGTGTAGTTGACCAGAGAAATGGTGATCTCGGTCACTTCCAGGTTAAAAAGTTTATAAATAGGTCTGTGGTGACCGTCTGTGACGCTAAAGTAGAAGACCCCAGAGACAGAGCTGCCGTCATGGATGAAATAGATGCTTCTGTTGTTGATCTGGGCTTGAGTGAAGGCCCCTATGGACGCATTCAAACTCCCCTCCACAGCCAGGTAGCCATTGTTTGGTTTGCTAATGACAGTAAACCTAATATCTTCAGGAGGATTGTCCAAGTCTTCCACCTTAAGATTCTCTGGACCGAGGACCACGGTATCTCCTTGTACCACTGTCAATCTTGGGGTTTTGGTTTTCAACACAGGTGACTGATCATTCACAGGTGTGACTGTGATATTAAAACGCTCCTCGACAACATCGCTGTCGTCTTCAGGGAGTTGCGCCGTTTTACCCTTGGGGTTAAGCCACACGCTGAAGGCGAAGGAGTCACGGGTTGTCTCCGAGTTGTCGTGCTTGTAGGTGATTCCATATTTGTTGACAATGAACTGAGAAAAGTTGGGCTTTTCTTTGGTGACGTTCCGCTCTCCCACCACGATGACACCATGTTGGGGCAGAGATGTCACCTGAAACCACACCTCGGAGGAGCTTCTCTGGAGAGTCGGAAGCTTGGACAGTAGGTTAGTGGCATCAAGATTTGACTCGTCAATCGTGACGCTCTCTCCTTCAGTGACTGTTACACCTGCGAACAAAGGAAATAAAGTGAAACACGTGTCATTATGCCCGGCATTTCAACATCTTTGAGGCCAAGGAACTCCAAACAGATGGAGAGACGGAGAAGTAATCCTCTATTTCTAAAACACAAATCGAAAAAAATCTCTATCAAGGCCAACAAAAGCTCTTTCTTGACATATCCTCCATTCAGATCACCTGTTGGAGACAAATTTACGTAAATTGAATTTGACATCATTATGCATTTAATATCCGTCTTGTTCAATGTACAAATGTACCAAGATAGACTTCATTTCCATATTTCAGAGCTATTCAATTAAAACAATATTCAAATGACTAATTAATTAGAAACATGTGCCTTATATTAAATTATGTCAAAATGTCCACTCTGCAGTACCATAGTGGTCCCCTAAGGGGTCACGCCTCCCCTGTTGAAGACCTCTGCTTAAAATTGTGGAATATCAGTGAGATCATAAAGTGTGAATGTGATGAAGATTATTATTTTTCAATATACATTATTTTATCTTATATATATATATATATATATAAACATTATATACATATATATATGTGTGTTAAAGAAAACTTGAGTATATCATTTTTTTCCCCTAAAGTCACAGTGTCTGTATCTCTGTATTGTCTCCTAAAGCTAACTCTTGTTCGTACCTGTGTTTGCCAGCAGGACTGTGTTCTGCTCAGGTCCAGTATTCTCAAAGGAAATGTCTATTTTAAAAGTCTGACCCTCCAGAGAAGCAGGAGGCGATGCCACGGAGAAGGTTATGGTGTCCATTGCTTCCCAGCCCACTGAATCAATGGGAGTCTGAATGTACATGACCTCCTTCCTGTCAACCTAAAGTAGAAAAATATTAAATCAACACAAACAACAGATCAGCAGTTTCCCACAGTGGCCTGGAAGTTTAATCAACGCTGTGAACCAGAGGGTCACGATACTGACACCAAGTGTTGGATCACAGTCAAAAAACAACATTTTACTCTTTTACAGCAGTGACTACTAACAAAGACCAGTTTTCTACAGAACAGAACTGCAGAGGTACAGTGTTGGTTGGTAAGATAAGGGTCAAGGACAGAGTATGTACAATAATAGATAAAAGAGAGAGAAAAGATAGGAATCCTAATAGAAAAAAAAAATTCCTATTAGGATTAAAAATATCCTTTTTAGTCAAAGACACATTTTACAAATGTTGAACTCTTGAAGTCTTGAAGAACTTGAAGTCTGCGCGCAAAGTTGATGCATTCTCCTAAAACTGAACCCTCAAAATAATGTCTTTCCTAATGGGACCCTGTCCAAAAAAAAGACAAACATTTTACCAATGTCTCCACAAGTATTGCTACACCTATATATATTTTAATTTAACGAAGTGATTCAACCAAATAGAAATCCAAATTTCCATTTCATGCCACTAGAGGCAGCTGCGGTACCACCAGTGGTAGGCGTACCATAGTTTGAGAACCACAGATCTAGACAAAAAAAAAACGTAACGAATTTTACTGAGAGGTCAAAGCGAAGAGACTGCGATAAGAACCAAAAAAAGCGTCAGTATCACATTGTTTCTTCAGTCATTAGTAAAAACATAAGCAGGAGAACAGAAATGTTAATAAAAGTTAAAATTAGTGACTCTCTGTGTTAAAACGTTGTGGGCATTCATTTGGAGCCTAAGCTAACCATTCTGCTCACAGAGCTCAGCAGTGCATACAGAACATGAAGCATAACATAAGTCAGATAAACATGAGGAACAGCTTCTGCTATGAAAGCCTTAAACGCATCATTCCGCTGAGGGAGCACAGAGTCAATCTCCTGAACCAGGACGGAAAATATTTATAATTCATGATGTCAAAAATCTGGTCATTTTCCAGAAAGTGAGAGCAGTCTGGTATTAGTGTCCCGAACACATGAAGGAAACAGTCTGGATCTGCAGCCTGTCACTCACCATGTCCTGTGTGAAGGTGCTGATGTCACTCACCATGTCCTGTGTGAAGGTGCTGATGTCCACTGTTGAGTTGTCAGGCTGTTGCGTCACCAGTCGGCCCAGTTTAGGAAGTCGGCTCACACTGAAGGTGATGGCTCTGCTGGAGGTGTTGCTGATGTCGTTAGTCACGGCTTGTAAATGCTCGTTAGTGATGAGATTAGAGGAGCCTGAGATAAAGACAGAACTTCATTCATTAGAATAGTGCGTTCTCGTGCACCAGTCCACAAACACTGCAGTGGACACATCAAAAAGTACTGCAAAACTATTTTAACATCAATATACACACATATTGTATACACATACATGTAAATATACATATATAAATATACATTTTCTTTTTATATAATTATATAAATATATAAATATATATATATATACACAACGATATGTACATATATACACATATATGTATAGTGTTCCTTCTCTATATCGTGGTTCTCCTTTTGCTCACTCAGTACATCAGAGATTTTTTTTAAATCCGATCTCGCGAAATGTAGCAAAAAATAAACTAAGAGACATTATAAAATAATTATACATGTGAAAGTTTTGGCTTTAAAAATGTGGATTCTCGTTTCGAAATTGAGATGAGTGCATTTGCGAACGATCACTCGCCATTATACTGTACATCTCTACTGTGCATATAATTGTGTGGTAAAGGGTAATACAGTCTAGGGAGGGTTGATAACAGTATGGGGGAGGTTCGTTAAGGGTAAATCTATACATAAAAAAATATAATAACTATCTCGCCTCTACTTCACAGTGAGTCTTGGATCACAACTACTGCGATAGGAGAGGGATCACTGTATATATATTTACCATAGGAAAAAACAACCACAGCCTTTGCATTAATTTTTACCTCTGAGTGAAAAAAGGCTACACTATATTCTTTATGTCACTTTTTAATTACATCGTGTTTATGATCTCAGACCCTCATTATTTACCGCAGATGTGAACTGGCTGTGAATATTTTCCCAAAAAAGAACTTGAATGATTTTTGCTGCTACATGTTAATGCTGTGCAGAGAGCACAAACATATTTAATTATTTTGAAGGTTGTAGCATTAGCAACAACTTCAGATTTTTGTTTTTTCCACCTTAGCCTTCACCTTATTAAAACCCTGTTCAGATCAAGCGTTAATCCCCCACCATCCTCAACCCCCTCCCCCGTCCTGCTTGGCAGAAAACACAAGTGGAGAACCCTCAGACAGACAAACAGACAGACAGACAGTCAAACAGTGGCAAGGATTTTCAAGTGCTCTTTCTCATCGTCTGCCTGGAGCTCAGCAGAGCAGGCCAACTGGCATTTTATTGTCCACACAATTTCCTTTGCGATTAACTCACAAACCAGACAACTATTTCATAACCAAGGTTTTTGCACGGAACGGAAGGCTTTTTAAGAACTGTCCTGTTGAATCATAACACGTACATTTAAAGACTTTACTCAAAGGCTTTTGGCCAGAAACATAAATAGTGTTAAATACATGGTGATACCCATAAAAAGGAACTTACTTTAAAGAAGTGAGAGATTAAAAATAATTAAATTTACCAAGTACTGCACTTCTGTGGATGACTAAGGATGATTCTACGCTTTTGGTTTACTTCCCCCTCAATTACACAGAAGAAAAAAAAATATGGTTGCTTTGTGAGGAGTTCAAGTATTTTTATAATGTCAATGAAAAAAACAATAAATATTTTTTTTATATTTTTGTTTTTGTAAACACACTGTATTTCACTCTCTGGAATCCATTAGTCACAGACTCTTATCTTTTCCTCACATTCACATTTTTGTTTCTTATTCCCACTCATCTTTTTAAAAAGTCTAGTGAAAATCAGTGGTGTGCTCCAAGGTTTATAATAGAATCTGTCAGAGGTGGGACCAAGTCCTTGCTTTGCAAGTCATAATTAAGTCTCAAGTCTTTGCACTCAAGTCCGAGTCAAGTCTCAAGTCAAGACAGGCAAAGTCCGAGTCGAGTCCAAGTCAAGACTAAAAAGTGTCAAGTCAAGTCCCAAGTCCTTACATTCCTGTCACGAGTCCTTTTAAACAAAATAATAATATATTTACACAGATCACTTTGGGTTTTGGAGAAAGTATCAAGTCTTGTCAAGTCAAAGGGCTCCAGTCCAAGTGAAGTCACGAGTCATTGATGTTAAAGTCCAAGTCGAGTTGCAAGTCTCTTTACATTTTTCGAGTCCAAGTCATGTGACTCGAGTCCACACCTCTGGCATCTGTACATGTGTAAAAGTGAAGACACTTCATTCTAATCATCATTCTGATTCTATATGACTTGAGTTTTTGTTGTTAAACCAGAGTAGATGTACAGTAATTAAGAAAAACAAACCATATACACACATATAAGTATATATGTGTATGGTTTTAATATATAAATATATATAAATATACATATACACATACATATACATGCAAACATATATATGTCTACTGCTAATATATGTATATATGTGTGTCTATAAATAAAATATGAATATATGTTTGCATGTATGTATACATATATATATTTATATTTATATATGTACACTCCAACCTTGATGGTTGTTAAAAAATGTTGTTAAAAATGTTGTTTTGTGTATAAAATTCAGTAATAATATGTGGGGTTCAAGCTGTGATGAATCAGAATATTAGAGGATTTACCTGGAAAAACCTTGAGCAGGCGGTTCTTCTCTAAACTGAGAAGCAAGGCTCTGGCTGTGATGCTGAAGATCTGCCTGGGGCTGAAGTTCACACCATCATTGACTTGGAAATTGAACCCACCAGACATGGCACCTGGCCAAGAACAAAAAGGGGGAAACGACTGTCAGGTATTCGGTCAAGTCATCAGGTTGCTCTGACAAAACACACAAGACTTTGATTTGACTTCCTTCGTGTGTTTAAGCACATCCACATATTAGCTGCAGCTAACGGATCGAAATACCGAAATACAATATTACAATACAATAACAATATTGTGTCAGTACCATTTTCTCAGGTTTTATGTGTGTATTTTAACAATAAGAGACCCGTTAAAAAGAGGAAGTTTGGGTGTGTGCGTACAAGTACAGAGGCAAAGAACAGACTTTAATCAGCGGAAAACTGATGTCAGCTCCAGAAAGATCTTATCAACCCTTTAGTGCAGTTTTCACACTAAACGGGATAGACTAGCGCGCAGCAAGTTCTCTTTTGTGTTCACACTGACTTTTAAGATGTGACTCGCTGCGCACGTTGCCCTAAATAGGAAAACAGTAACGCTACGTTGTTGTAGTTTTTAAAATCTTAAAACAGAAAAAAAATTAATAAGGAAATCTAACTACTTTTTAATTTTACTGTCACAGTAGTGGATTTTGAATTTTTTCTGGTGACCCATATTTTAAAAGTCGCAAACCTATGCGACCCAAGTTAATAGACATTATCCGTTAACTCCAGGGAAACATGATGCGGGATGACCCAAAAATCTCTTGTGACCCAGTCTTTGGGAAACTAAATATATTCTGAACAGATCAGTACAGTACACCCTCACATGGCCCGTTTACACAGTCAACCATTCACCCTTGTTGGCCATTTACTGTGTACAAACAACCCAACCACAAAGTGCAGGTCTTGAAATTATTTCTGGGTTCACTGGTGAATTCAGACATTATGTCGTCTGTCGTTACACAATGTCAATAAAGACGTGGTTCTGAGTTTGTGTCCACAGCACCTCGTCACATTTCTGTGCCCGTATTTATGTTTGTGTTCAAGTGAAATATAAATATAAAGTAACAAGTGTGAAAATGTCTTTTCACCGTTGTGCACAAACAGCAGCTGGCCTTGGTCTATGTGAGCCTGGGTGAAGTTCAGCACCGGCTTCATGGGGGCGCTCTTCAGCGCCAGATGCCCATTGCTGGGTGGGGTGACCATGAAGTGAAGGTCCTCTGGAGGCGTGTCCTTGTCCTGCACTTTCAGATCCTCAGCTGTGATCTGTGTCACTGAGGAGACCCACACCTTAAAGACAAGACACACAGGGGTCCAGTAGGAAATAACTGTGAGTATAAATTACTCTGTCAACATAGTACTTTCACCTTTCTGTCGACTAATGTCGAACCTTATAAACCAAGTAGTTTTCAAATCAGATTCAAAACCAGAAAATAATTATATAAATAAAAATGTATCCTTATACTCTTTATAGTAGTAAATGTACTTGGTCTTTTGTGATGTTAAAGTAGAATACCAATAAAAAATACATAAATAAAAAATATAAGTATATATTTTAACTTGTGGGCTAGGTGATTGTCTGGTTTTATGTGAAGCGGGGGAGGGGTGGATGGAGGGGCG